TTTTGAACCTTGCCAACTACATCTAAACTTGTCAAAGTCTAGTTTGATGAAAATACGGATGTAGGAGTGGAGACAAAGAATAAAACAGAGATTTGAAAGACAATAAAAGTAGAAGCAAGAGATTATGGTGGTTGTTTTTTTTTTCTGTTTAAAATAACTTTTCATTACTGGAAAACCCAAACAAACAAAACGAAACAAACAAAGCAAACAGCCAAAGAAACACTGAAACTAAACACCGACAAAAACAAAGCAACAAATGAAAGACTATAAAAGCCATCATTAGGGGGGGAGGGTGAAGACTTCCTGCTGATAGACCAAACCTCAGATCCTCCTGCAAGTAAAATGGAGGACTGCAGTAATTGGTAACTTGCCCACTCCGGCCTCCGGAAGCTAACAGATGAGCTGGCACATTTGCCTCTCTCTTGACACACTGGAAGGAAACAGAACTACCACATAAGAACAGAGGGAAAGCAATTATAAGATCGAACTGATAAAGTATAATAACAGTCATGAATCGTTTTCAATTACCGCATGTGTCAGGCCAAGCTCATTCAACAGAGGACAGCATTCACTAATTGCAAAGCATTTAGCAAAAAGAGGGAGGAAGCTTTACAAGGACATGATTGATCTTCCCCCCAAAAAAACGACCCACAATTAGACCTAAGAACAATCCCAAAACCACCTAATCCGGTCCTAACAAAGCTTCCATCAGTGTTAGCTTTCACAAAACCTGTCCTTGGAGGATTCCACAAAACAAAAGGAGAACCTGCACTCTTCTCTTGCAAAGATTCTGTTGAGTCTTGTGGGGAAACTTTCTTGGCTTCCTTAATCATTTTCTTTGCACACAGAATTGTAGCATTACGATTTGGGTCAACATTATTTATAATGTAGCCATTTCTAGCTTTCTATATATGTACCACATCACAAGTGCTGAATATTCTAGGAGATTGTCACAGTCATCGGAAAGCCCAGAGGCTAACTGACACCAATCAACCATCATTTCCATCAATGTGCAAACAGGGTATGGGAAGGACCATTTAAGGGGGATAAAGTGAAATTACACCCAAACCAAGTGCTCCTAGCGTGATCACAAGAAAGCAGAGCATGGGAGATAGATTCAGTCTCCTTTCCACAGCGAGGACAGAGATGGTCACACTGAATAGGGTTTAGCCGTTTATGTAAATTTTTTCAATTTTCGGAATGGCATAGGTGATAGGGCATTATTTATTTCCTCATTTACCCTTAGTTATTATATAGTATATTGTATTACTATTTACATCATCTGAATATGATCCAATGGTATAAATCCGAGATCTCTGATGGATTGGGTTGGGTCATTGATTTTCGGGTATCATTGATAGGCCTAATTAGAGCTAAAAACTGAAAATTCGGTTATCATTGGATTGGATCACTGGGTATCATTGATAGGCCTTAATAAGTTCTGTCTTACATCTTAAGTCATGGCCTCATGGTCTCATATCATGGCTAGAACTTTACACCCCCCCCCCCCACAGCAAAAAAAAAAAAAATCATAATAAGAGGAAATTAGTCTAAAATGAGATCAAATCAGTCCCCACAACGTCTCACAGCACATCCCCACTGTGTATTGGAAACATCTCCTGATAATGATATTATCATTTCTGTTATTATCATCAGGAGATGTTCCCAATACACGGTGGAAATGTACTGTGGGACGTTGTGGGGGGCTGATTTAAACTTCACAAAAATGAAAACACCGTGGGCAGCTAGTGGGTCAAGCGATGGATAGCCATGCAGTAACTGGAAAAGTAATCTGTGAGGAGGCATCTAGCAGGTGAATTAGGTTCCAACCAAAAGCTCAGTCAGAAGGTTGTGGGTTGCTAAATACGGACAACTGGCTTGTTTGGCAAGTATTTTCTCTTTTTTATGAAATATTATATTTAAGAATGTAATTTCTTTGAATTATCATTTGTTTGGAAGGATTTTATTATTGAAATCAAGTCTCACTATAGGAAGAGAGTAAACACAAATATGTGCAGTGTAATACTGTGTTTTAAACATTGTTAATACTGTTTATATTTGTATTTGCACTCTTTACAACTGAGCCCAAGGTTTAAAGTATCAAGAGTTTCCAAATAGGAAAATGCTAGTATGTGGAATTCACTTTAAACTACATGATAAGGTAATGAACTGTGACCATACAATCCCCCCTTTGTTTGGGCATGTGTTCCACTTTATGACAGCAGGTCCTACAAAGTTAGAGGCTGAGGGTTTTTGATTTGTCGAATGAGAAACTGTTCATTGCACAGGCTAGCAGGACTCTTCCAAATGTCTAAACCTTTTCCTTTTGGGTTCAACTAAATACAGGAAAACCACCTTTGACCTAGCCAGTTGGACTGTTTGACTCAAGAATCGTCTAGGCAACTGGTTCCGTTTCATACTTAACCTGTTTTTGGCTAAAAACTATTAACTTGGTCAGCAACCCACTGACCCAGGTGATTGATCCATCGACCAATTCAAACCACACAATGATCTTTGGCCATTTTTATTTTAATTTGAAACAAGTCATCCATTCGAACAGAATGGTTGAACTGCTGTCCCAAAAACCGGTGGCCAAAGTGATTTCAGTTCCGATCAATTTTTAAAACATTGCCGGAAAGACATGATATTAGAAAAAATTATGACCAGTTATGGTAGACATGGTAACCAATCACTCTTTTAAATTTTTTGCTTTGATGTTTAAACAGTAAAAACGATACATCATTAATTAACATATGCAACAATCCTAGCCTCATTATTTAACATATCTGGGACCTTGAAAATCAATACGTATCAATTGATACACATCGATATGTAATAATATTTTAAACCTTGATTGAAATATTGAAGTCTCGTGCATCTTCTCTACAGACGGTGAATTTGGAGAACTCTACAAGTTAAATACAGCAATAATCAGCTGTATTCTTTTTTTTTTTTGATAGAAGAAATAATCAGCTCTATTCAAAGAGTATTTGTTTATAGACATTACTGTGAAACCTTGGGCACTATGAACGAGATTTTCTATTTGATTCTAGCCTCTAGGAAGCATAAGACATTGTGAAGGAACACTCAAGCGTGGGGATGAAATGAAATTCTCTTATTCAAGAACCTTAACAAGGTTTTACTTCACTGAAACGGTGAAACCTTTAACCAGTTGTTCCCTTTAACAAAAATCAATAAGAAAAAGCTAGGTCGACTGTCCCCCATTTGGAATAGTGTGAAAGAAAAGCTCATTTTCACACTAGATCTTAGTTCTGTTTCTCTTATTCCTAGTCGGCCAGTCATGTGCACCTAAATCATGGTTTCAACTTTCATGTTCTATTATTCTATAGGAAATTTGTTGTTCGCCATCACCTACTATTTTGTTGTTATTAATAGATTAACATTCAGCATCTGCACTGAAGCTGCACTCTTTCAACTAGATAAGCATTGCTTCATAGATACAGTTCTACTTCCACGTATTTGGATCGAATGGTCAGTTTGGGAAGAGTGCAAGGCTCAGTTTGGTAAGCGTGCAAATGCAAATATGTATAACACAAATACAAAGTAGGCTCAGTTTGGTAAGTGTGCAAATTAGTAGTTCATTTTAAACTTTGTATTTGCACCGTCTTCCCAAACTGAACCTAAACCATTCAAATATAGGGAGCTTTCTGGTTGCCATTGGCTGTTATATTGTTGTTTTCGTTTTCGTTTTGGACTCCGACAATGGAAGATTTGCCACCTCAAGTGTCAAGTTTAGGGTGGATGGTTTCTAATTCTCACCGTTGGAAGGTTTTGTTTCTTTTCATTAATTCACAAAATATATTCATTCCGTTCCCTTTGAGTCCAAAAGCATTGTAACCGGACTCCGGAGGTGGTGAATTGAACCTGTTTACATATGTGAGCGTAAACAGAAGGTCATGCAACCAAAGGTTCCCTAATTTTTCATACACCGCCTGCCAATTTACCATATTTCTGCCTTGTGAAAAAAATATAAGATTTGATAAGACGGAATTGGATATACCTAGATCCAAATTTGATCCAAATGTTATCCGTTGGGTTTATCTTGGATTCTTGTAAAACTTGGATATTGAGCAGCATTAACAAATTAAAGTCAGCATCTATGGTAGGGAGATGCGTGATTGGTCGAATGTAATGGTAAGCACACTTTGCTAAATATGGACATACATTTTATCAAATGTGAACCAATAAAAAATAAGCGTTATTGATTGAGATCTGGATTTAACACACAGCCAATACATAAGGGAATGCACCATAGTGAAACTCTAAATTAAATTTAAAATAATCAAATTATTATTTAGTAATAAATAAACTGCAAATAGCTGAAAATAACTTGTAGTTTCTAACAAAAATACAACAATCCTTTTCTTTTTAGGGTAAAATGGTACCGTCAGAAGATCAAAGGGATACATTTTGTAGCCCTGGTACAGGGCTCTCAGGTTTTAAATAATCACATGAAGTACTGCCATGACATAGACATGTTTTTATCTGTCATTGGGAGATGTTCCCAATACCCGGTTGGGATGTGAACTCGTTTTTTACGTGTTTTAGATATACAGTTTGGATTACCCCACATCACATCTCAACATGCATTAAGAATATCTCTAGTACTTCTCATGGGGAGATAGATGTTCCCAATGCACAGTTTGGATGTGTTGTGGGGCACCCTGTGAGGAGCCAATGAAAATAAGATCTCTTGGCTATGAGACCAGATTTCCTGCACTTGGTTTGGTATGAGCCCAGGTACACTTCCAATGAGATCGGAACATGTTATAGTTTGCATGGGTACCCCAACTCACTTGTGCAATAAAACTAAGAAGCATGCTTGCCTCATTATATTTTCATAACTTTTTAAAATTTAAAAAAGTGAAAAAAAGGAAAATGTTCACTTTTTTTCTTCTTCCCTCTTCTTTGTTCCTCTTCTCCCTCCACTGCCGCCTCCGAACCAATGAATCAGATCTCTCTCTCTCCACTGCCGCCGCCGCCGCCTCCTTTTTCTTCTCTTATTTCCCTTCCCCTTGTTTATTAACACTGCAGCTGGTTGGAAATAGACAATGACCTCCCAGCCGAACAAAGCACTACTCCCGTGACCTCCCATCTCTCTCTCCTTTCTCCTCCTCCTTGCTGGAAGACCAAACCAGTCTGTCATGCTCTATTTTTTCTTCTTCATTGTCACCCAAATATGTAAGACGCCACAACTCGTACCCCTATTCAAGCTTGACCGAAGCAAAGCTGAAATAGCCTGGCATTCAATTCTTCGATCACCAAAGTTCTGTTCCCATTGTTGGATTTTCTATGACAAGCGCTAGCTCTCCCCTGAACTGGAAGCTCGACATCTGTTCCTTCTCTGCCACTGTTCATTTGCCATCGGTCATTGAAATCCATGGAAGTTGTCCTAGCTTTCAAGTTTTTCTTTTCAATGTTAGATGATCTGGTAGGTTCTGAACCAGGTTTGCTGTGGTCCATTGTAGACTTCATCAAAAGCTCGGACCCTTAAATTAACTAAGCTTATGGTCAACGGTTTCCGCTGTTGATTCCTGATTCTTCCAAATCTAGTGGTGGAGGAGGATCCATACCAGGATTTTATTCGTGGTCGCTTTTAAACTCGAACCCATGTTTTCACACTTGTTAGCCTGGGACTACCATTGTACAAAGCATTAACCCCTCTAGTACTTGTCCTTTATTCCTGCATCCCAAATAGATGCTGCACTAACCAGCTTGTAATCCCTTCTCCCCCACCCAGCAAATTTTGCAAACAGAGACTAAAAAGCAGCTACATGATTTATTTCTACTTTTCAAGACTATATGTCCTATCTCTAAATTTCACTTCTCCATTCCTTTTATGGATATAACTTAGGATGAGAGGGTGGAGAGACCACACTTAGGGAAGTTCACTTCTTTAGTCAACAGAAATACACCTTAAATACAAGTGACTGAAATTTCTGCTGATAAATGCCTAAAACAATAATATCTAAAGGTTATCTGAAACTAGATATTTATGAGTAAGAGTGTAAGACAATAAAAATTTTAAACTAGGTAAAAGATAAATTGGTTTATTGGGGGATACTTTCCACTCTTAGTTTTTCTTCCATGTGGGAAGATTGTATGACATTCAAAAGGAGCCATTAACATTTCACTGAAGAGAGAGAGAGAGAGAGTCAACAATTCCACAATTCCACCCCCTCCTGTCCTTACCATATTTACAATTTTTATGCAAAATCAAGTTATTAAGATCTCCAAGAATTTGCGTAAACTAATTCAGGCTAATGAACAAAGCCATACAATATGAGAAGTAATCCTTTCACAAGTACAATGTGGGAATTATGTCACATCTACAATTCAAACAGTCATGTTAATGCAGAGACAAATCAAAATTAAACTAATATGCAGTCATTAGCTATTATGTGGGTTAATGGAGTAATAAATAGGGAATGTGACCAAGAACATTGAGACCATCAGTTCAGCTTTTTGATGTGACTAGATCAACATAACTCTGTAAAAATCCAGAATATGAAGGAGTACTTGGTGGGATTATGGTTTGCTCGATCATTTTCACAGGTTAGAGAGTAGAGAAATCTAGCACAAACAATTTGCCCCCACCCATACTCAGTTGGAAGCATGTTTTCAAAAGTGTTTTTTCTGTGAGAGTTCTAACAAAGTAACAAACAAAGGGGAACTCTTGTTTATCCCATTCGACCTCAAAAACAATGTAGATGAGAGTCAATTTTGTTTGTACTTTGTAAAAGCTTTGTTGTCACAAAAACTGCAAGTGACTTAAGGTAAAAATTTTCTTTATTTGCCTTCACACGTATATTATTATCTGAAATCTCAGGGATCTTGTTTTCCCCCTCCTTTTTCTTTCCTCCTAATATTGTAGGCATATATATATATAAAAATATATCCCTGAGAAATTTAGAAAGATTGTGCTAAAATTCTTTTTTTGGTAGAACTTTGTGCTAAAATTGTTGAAGTTCTTGTTTGGTGCCATTTCAGAATGTGCTAATGGAGGCACAATCCACCTTCCATTGAACAGAATCAGAGGGTATTCCATAATCCTCTGGTATATTAGAAAAAAAATTGTTTTAAAGCAAATTGTGAAGGGAATAAAGAAAAATCATCTAGACAACTAAAAGCTGATAAGAGAAAATTATTGGAAATAAAAACAACGGAGGGAAACAAAGAAATTGAGATGCTTACTTGGGTACAATGCAAATTTAATCATCAAAATCATCGCCGTCATCAATTTTTTGTCCAAATCCTCTGGGCCCTGTCTTAGTCCTGACCTGAACTCTTTTCCCACTTTTTTTCTTCTTCTTAATGGCCTCTTCTTTCTCAAACTTCTCTCTCTCTCCCTTTTCTGCAGGAAATCCGAGACACCTATATAGATAACCTGTGCTCCCAAAACCATCCAAAAACATTCCGAAACCAAAGATTTAGTCGGCCAGAACCAAACAGAAAACAAGACAACTAAAAAATCAATAAAATCCCAAGAAAAGAAAAGAAAATCAAGACCAGAAGAATCTTTACCCCAATAGTAAGAATGGAGAGACCAAAAAAAGCGATGAACAGAAGAACGGATATGACTGTAAATACACCGCTGTCGTCAGAGGAAACGATCCGTTGGGCAGTCTCAATTGGGGCGTCTGATGGCAAAACATCTCCGGATGTAGCCGGGATTCTCCAAATTCGAGTGTTTTTCTGTGAAGGTTTATGTGGTAGGTGTCGATAAAAGTATGTTCTTTTTGAGTGGAGTAGGGTGGGTAAGGTGAGTGGCAGGCCCTAAGAGAAGAACCGAGCTTTGGTCTGGAAAACAAGATGAGAGGTGTTGAAGATAGAACTGTAGATGCAATAGCCATGTCTCATCTGCCACTGCTACTGCTACTGCTACTTCTTCCTCTGAGAGAGTAATTTTGCTTTGCGCCTGGTTGTCCAACACCGAAATGCGGGTCCAGGTTGGTTAAGTGATTTTGGCCCACTGTACTGGTCCAGGCCCACCCTGCAGTCCGCAATTTTAGCCCGCTGTACTGAAGCACAAGTTGGGCTGGACTGAATATGAGTTGGGCCAGCCAAGTTGCAAAATAGATATGGGACACGTGACGTGGACGGTGGAACCGTGGAACACCGAGTCTCGCCGCTGACCATCGATTCAAGTTCAACTATACCAGATCTTTCCTGAGTTCTCTCGGACGCGGAGTCCTTCCGTTCCGCTACAAAATCAAACGCCTTCATCATTCTATTCTTCCAGAAGGATCGTAAGATCGAGGGATTTATTCTTCTATAAATACGGACTCTGTTTATTTGATCTGAAGATTTTCCTTCGTTCCAAATCTTCCGAGTGACACACAATTCCAAATCTTCCTTATCTGTCTGACTGTCTCTCTTTCTAGGGTTTGTTTTCGTAGCAATGGCCAAAGAAGGACCGACTTGGGAAGGCTTGCTGAAGTGGAGTCTCGCACTCTGATGGAACTCGTCCCCCACGCAATTTGAGGTCTCTCTCTCCTCTCTCTGAAATTGGAATTAATTTGTAGATAGGACAGTTTTTTTTTTCCTTATTTTAGTTGGGTTGGCGCTGTTTCCTATTACTACTTCATACTAGTTATCTCAGTGCTAAAATGCAGACTGCTTGCTTTATGAGTTTTTCTCTTAGGAACGCATTGCAAGTCCCTTGTTACAACAGGACTCTGAAGAATAAACCGATTGCATTATAAACTTTCGCTTGTTTTTCTTCCTTCTTTACTTTCCCTTCTTTTATTTGGACTGTTAAATACAATATGTACCGACAATGATATTAGTCAATGGAAAGCCATCTGCTTTTGGACTTTTCTCACAATCATAGTTCTAGATACTTTCAATCATAGTAGTCATACCTATTAATCCATATGAGAACCTATTTGATAATCACCTATTTGAATTTTAGTTCAACTGCACAAACTGAAAAACTGGGCGGTTGTTATATAGACTCACAAGTGGTGGATGTTATTATTTATTTACTTCTTGTTTGTCAGCGAGGAAGACCGAAAATGGTTTATGGAAGCTATGCAGTCACAGACCATTGATATTATTAAACGAATGAAAGAGATAACTCTTGTAATGCAAATTCCCGAGCAAGTCTTGGAGTCTGAAGGTGTTGCTGCAGTAGACATAGAAGGTGCTACATTTGATATTCCATATTACTGAACTTCCATTGCTATTCCATAGAAGGTGCTACATTTATACTCACTACCGGTTTTACAACTTGGCAGATATGTTAGATGAACTGCAAGAGCATGTTGAATCCATTGACATGGCTAATGGTAGGTTTGCTACACTCGTCTCATTTATCTTTTTATTTCTTCTCTCTTTGCAATGTTGGATGGTGAAATGGAAGATGAAAGTGAGTTCTCTTTCTTTCTTTCTTTTTTTTTTTTCTTAATTAATCTTCTAGCAGAAATCCCCTGTGACACAAACAGATAATAAGTCAGATAAAGCACACAGAATGTCAACTATATTTCCATGATAAGTCATAAACATTGTAAACATGATTTCGTCTAGAAAATTATTTGTTTGTTTATGTAATTAGACAATTAACATAAGAATTGCAATCATGATGTTTGAATTAGGAGGACTAAAACCAACTTGATCAAGGGAAGGAAGAAGAAATTGAGATAAACTACATTATTTCTTTTTGTATACTCTTGTATACTGTCTTTTCTATTTTAATAAAAATTACCTTACCTTCTTTAAAAAAAAGGCTAAAACTAGGTTCTCAAAGACCCATCTATGTCTATGTCAGAAGGATCTGCTTTCAGTCATAGATTAGAACTAGAAAACAAAAGGCTTGCCTGGCAGTCGGCAAGTTAAAACATGAGAAAGTCCATTCCATTGAAATTGGATAAGGGTGTTTCATGTGTATCTGAATTTCATTAAAGTTCTAAGGTTAGCTGTGGTAATATTATGAGCTTTAACCAATTGAACTAACAGGAAATTATTTCTTCTAGAGCATAGATTGATTTGCATATTGCTATATATGTTAGGCGTTTGTTTTAATTATTTTCCTCATATGTGGTTCCTCACTTTATTCAGGCACATGTCCATGCTTCAAGCTTTAGGAACATTTTTGCATTTAGTCTGTACTTATCGTTTTGGAGCTGGTCTAGTTGGAAAACAATACCAGACTACTAGTGCATGTTCTATTTTTTTTTATTTATTTATTTGGGTAAGAAAACCAAAGCAGTATAGGAACCAAGCGACAACACACAACCTAACCAGGAGAACCTGAAACACCTGCAACAAAAGAGCTATCAAGGGCTGCATCAGCAGTCACCAAACCAGATAACCAATCAGGAGGAGAACTCCAATAAGAAAGAAGGCCTTCCTTGCCTTTGGCAGCAAGGGCATGGGCAGTCAAAATGTTTCTTCGGCTAACATGGATGAACCTAACATTGAACCCTGTTAAACTGTAAATATCCTGCAGCAAAGGCCAAACTACTGGAGAGCAATCAAAAGAACAGGAAGATAAAGCCTTTACAACGTTCAGTAAGTCAGCTTCCAACCAAGCACTTTTGAAGCCCATGGTTTTTAGCAGTCAAACAGCACACCCTTATAGCAAAAACTTCAGCATACTCTGCTGAGATGGCCTTACATGGCCCATATTTTGCAAGCAAAAAAGAACCAGAACCAATCTTTTAACACAAAACTGAGTGCATGCTCTATTCCATTTTGGTGGACTTGAATGGCCTTCTATATTTAGTTTTTGGGTTCAGTGGGTTGCTTAGGTCAGATTTAGCATTAGCATGTTTCTCTTGCACAGATGTGTTATCTTGCTACAAAATCTTTTATTCGTTAACCTGTACCTGGTTGTCCTTGTCTTTTATGAGTTTCCATGCAATGTTGTGTTAAGTGTAGAAATGGAAACCCCCATTCATCAAAAAAATTGAAAAAAAAAAGATTAGTGGCAACCCCCGCCCCTGTGGTAGAAAAAGATGTAGGTATAGGATATCAGCTTATGAAAAACTTGTAGTATGCACATCCTCTATGAACTCTGGTCATTGCTAAGGCTGGAGAACCAAAGATTCAAAATCTTCTAGATGGAGTGTAAAGAGATGGCCTGTTCAATTTTTCCAATCATCAGCTGTACTTCAAACCAATTGCTTCCAGACATTCTGTTGTTTCTTCCTTTCTTTCATAAGCTCAAACAAATAGTAATTGGTTATTGGCCGATTACTTCTTACAGTCCTACAAATGCTCTAAATTGATACTGTATGGTGACCGTCATCTAGACTGGTGTACATATGCTTTGTTGGATTGATTATTCATATCCTGTTGGATCATTTTCCGGGTTCTGAAATTTGTTTCACCTCATCAATTCTATCCGCTATCTTTTGTTTTTTGTTATTATAGAAATGTTTAAAAATGCAGCCCAGTGCACGAAGCTCCTGCCAATGCGGGGTCTGGGGAGGGGACAGATGTGTTATGCTTTATTTACTCCACCTCCAGCTGTCAAGATTATGATCTATAACTATGGTTTAGTTCAGTTCCATTGGAAAGAATGTTTTCTTTCCCTAACTTTTTATGTTAAAAAATAAGGACCAAGGGAAGATTTAGTGGGCATAATCTATGTGGAATGAAGACATGTTAGTTGACGTTCTTCATGTTTGAATATGTAAGTTCACCATATAAAATGGTTTCATTACTGAAGAGTGATAAAGAACCACGTTTGGTTTTCATTAATCATTAACAATTTTCATTTTTTGATAGATTTCTTTTTTTTTTAATTTTCATTAATCATTAACAATTTGATAATGGTTTTGTTTTAGATGATTGATTCATGTAGATTCCAAACCCATTATCTAATTTATTTTTGTTCTCTAGCAAAATTGTATGACATGTGATAATGAGGATGCAAATCTATATATGTTGTTAAATGGTACTTGCTTATTATCTTCTGTTGGTTGTGCAGATCTTCATTCAATAGGTGGTTTAGTACCTCTTCTAGGTTACTTGAAAAACTCCCATGCTGGCATCCAAGCAAAGGCTGCAGAGGTTGTAACCACCCTTGTTCAGAACAACCCCAGGAGTCAGCAACTTGTAATGGAGGCAAATGGTCTGGAACCTCTCCTCCATAATTTCACGTCAGATTCTGACATAACTGTTCGGACCAAAGCACTTGGTGCAATATCATGTAAGTACTCCCCCCCACCAGCTCCTATTATTAAGTTTGGTCAAGCTGCTTACAATTTTCTGCTTGTATGGTCTTTCAGCTCTTATACGACACAATAAACCTGGGATTTCTGCATTTCGTCTAGCAAATGGTTATGCAGAACTGAGGGAGGCATTGGGATCAGAAAATGTCAGATTTCAACGGTATTCATTCCAAAGATTTTCCAGATATTTTTATTTGTTCTTTCATTGGCCTTATGTAGCCATGTTTTGTTTTGACTTCATTATCTTCACTGCATGATTATTGAAGTTGGTGAACTTACTTGCATTTAATTAATTTTTAGAAAAAACTTGTGCTTGTTTTCACCAAATTATGCTAGTTTCTCCTTGTTGCTTCCTGCCTTGTGGTTGACGTATCAACCTGATCCCAGTACCTTCTCTTTTGCTTATTTTAATGGGTTTATGCTAGTTTGCCCTTATTGCTGCCTGCCCTTCGGTTGATATGACTGACACCTTATTTTTCATGTATTTCTCTCTGAACGACTGTTTTCTAATAAATAAGCCATGAAGGCACTCAACCTGATCCAGTACCTTCTACACGAAAATAGTTCTGATTGCAGCGTGGTTACAGAATTAGGATTTCCCCGCCTGATGATACACTTAGCATCAAGTGGTCATCCAGATGTACGAGAAGCTGCACTTAGGGGCCTTCTGGAACTTGTCCAAGACAGAAAAGGTGAAAGCAGAAGCGTTTTGACCGAACATGGTGAGAAGCTAAAGCAAATTCTCCAGGATTGGATAAAAGGTATCATCTTCATGGCCTCCGATATCGCTGGGGGCGCCAGGGAGGAAATGCAGCTTGCTGACTCCCTGTGGAACGCCTGTTATAATGAGCCATCTCCTCTCCGAGAGAAAGGTTTACTTGTTCTGCCGGGAGAAGATGCACCCCCACCTGATGTTGCCAGCAAGTTTTTTGAACCTCCGCTGAGAGCCTGCGCTGCTGATAGAGACCCAACCAGCAAAAAGAAAGACACCTTTGCTATTGAGGGCGGGTCCGAGCACAGGTGGTGATGCAAGTACTGATACCTAAAAATGGGGAAAGCAAATTCAAGAAATTAGAGCTACAAATGGTATGTATCCGTTTTGTCCAAATTCAAATTGGAATCCATTTTGATTATGGCGATCCCAATTTGATCCCGTTTAATTGGATCAATATAGATCTTAGACAATCCGATTGAGGCGATTGATCTGATAATTTTCAAATGTATAAGTTTGTAATAGTTGGCTTGTTTACTGAAGAGCCATGGATTTTAGTCAGGAGAAGTTATTTTGAAGTCACGAATATGCTATACAATGTTAAATTATTATTATTTTTTTCATTCTATGCAATATTTTATGTCCTTTTCAGTTCATTTCTTGTTAATGATATACAATATTTCGGATTCATTATTTTATATTTAATGGTATTCAATATGCAATTCCATTTTGACCTCTATCAGAATTCCATGGATAAAGTATTTATTTAAAAGTTTAAATCCAAATATTAACGTATCAAAAATGTCTGGTTTATGTCAGTGCGAAGTCTCTTCAAAATTTTCATGCCCACTTTGCACTCAGTTCATTTGTTTGAACGATGCAAGTAACAATACAATTTTTGTGGATGTTTGGCACTTTCGTCAATGCAATACCAGCTGGCTTCACAATGAAGTTCTTCAAAAAATGTTGGAGTTTTCTAAAAGAGGATATATAATGGTAGTCTTCTAGTTTCACTCTTAGCTGCTTTAGAAAGAAGTTTAAACTTCACTTTTATCTCTCTAATTCCTAAGCGAAAGGGGGCTGAGGAACTTAAGGACTTCAGGCCGATCAGTCTTATTGATAGTGTTTACAAAATTTTATCCAAATGCTTGCGAGAAGGACGAAACCAGTCATGGGTTATGTTGTTTCAGAGTTCTAGGGTGCTTTTATTCATGGAAGACAGAAGGAAGATGGGGTTCTAACAGCAAACGAACTAATATTGGTTCTCGGATTAAGAGTGGAAGAGCTGGATTGTTGCAAAAGCCTATGATCATGTAAATTGGGGTTTCTTGGATTATATATCAAGGAGGATGAATTTTAGCTCAAACTGGAGGAATTGGATGAAGGTGTGTATTACAATTCTTACATTCTCAGTTTTGGTTAATGGCATGGCCTGTGGTCATTTCAGGAGATTGAGGGGTCTTAGATAAGGTAGATAAGGTGATCTTTTTTTTCCATGTGTGATGAAAGTTTTGGGAAAATTGACTTTGAGAGCAATTTCATGCAATTTTTTAGAAGGTTTTTGTTATGAGCACCCACACCACACGGCAGCAGTTGAGGCAGTAGCGCGCACACGACAGGCACCGCACGGCAGCGGCACCGCACACAGCACCGCACGGCAGCGGCGCCACGTGCCGCGCGCACGCACACCAACAGCAGCAACAGAGCGGGGCCCACACAACAGCTCATAGGGTGGGCCCACCCTTATCCGAACACAACAAGAGAACGCGCATTATCCCTTATCCCATTCTCCCTTATCTTATCCCCTATTCTTAGAAGGAATTGTAGTACCATTAAAAGTAAGTAGTTTAATTAGAAGTAGGAGTTCTGAGTCCGTTTAGGACTAACCTAGCCGAATCCAACAAGGAACCCTCATCTTGTAATCTCCTATTTAAGGAAACGCTATTATTAAATGAGGATATCGAATATTCAGTCAAGAAAGAGAGTAAAGGAGAGTTCGGTGATCTCTTGGACAAATCACCCCTGAGATAGTCAAAATAGGGCCTGTACGCAAGAACAAGGGCAAGGAGAGATATGAGGTTCCTGCAGTGGAGCGACCCGTGACGCGATCCTACGCCCGGGCCCATAACAGTTTTTCAGTGGGAGAGAACATATTAGAGATTCCCTTGCTACAATTTGCAGACAGTTCAGTTTTCTTCCGCAATGCTTTGCAGGAGCAACTTGATTTTTTGATGGCAATATTATAGTGGTTTGAAGTAGTCTTTGGCCTACGTGAACTGGTTGTAGTAGGTGAGGTACAAGAATTAGAAAGCTGGGTTGATTCATGCTGTTTCAAAGTGGGAAAGTTTCCTTTAAAATAGAGAAAATTCCCATTTAGTACATTGTATTTTGGGCCTAGTGTCATTTTGGTCCCCAAACTTTAAAATGTGACAATTCAGTACCCAAACTTTTAAAACATGACAATCCAATACCTGCCGTTAATTAGTCGTTAATCAGCCATTAAGTAACATTTGAAAAAGATACAAATGCCCTTTAAGTGTTATTTAATTTTCTTTATCAACCATCTAAACATTGATAAAAAATTAATAATCCCAAATCCTTACCTTTTCCATTTAATAAAGTTGGGATCACATTTGAATGAACATGCTAGTGTGGAAAGAACTCATGTTTGGAGTCCACAGTTTAGAAGAGCTCTAAATGATTGGGAAATTGAACCTCTTGGGCAACTACTTCAGAAATTGTACAACATGCAAATAAATTTTAATTCAGAGGACAGAAGGGTGTGGACAGCAGATCGAAAGGGTAAGTTTACAGACTTACAGTAAAATCTTTTTATTATAAACTGACCAAGAGGATGAGCAGGATGTCCCTTGGCATGTAATCTGGAGTAAGTTTATCCCTTCAAAGGTAGCTTTCTTTGTTTGGCCTGCTTATCTGAACAAGATTCCTACAAAAGACAATCTGATTAGCTAGGAGGGGAGTGGTGATTGACTCACCTGTTTGTGTGTTATGTAACGGAATAGAAGAGTCTGGTGACCACTTGCTATTGCATTGCAGTTTTACATACAACATATGGGTGAAAATGTTTAGAATTTTTGCCATTAAAAGATGCTACCCTGCATCAGTGGAAGCTTTTGCAAAAGGTTGGTGGACACATGGTCTGAGTATGAGAGGGAAAGTGCTATGGTAAATGATCGAGGAAGTGTGGCAAAAAATAGCTTTTCCAAGTAAAGGCTGCCAAGACGAGGAAGTGTGGCAAAAAATAGCTGGGAAACTACTATCCTGGTCATTGCACATCTATCAAGAAACAACGTTCCCCTTAGTTCTCTTTTTCTTTATGAAAACTTTTTTGTAATGACAAATGGGATAGTGGTCAAAAGTACGGATAGGCCCATTGCAAAAACCTGAATCCCAGGATCTATAATAACAATCAAATTCACTTTTGAAATTATAGGACAGATTCCCACACCAACTAAACATCATGCTTTTCCCTTGTTTTTCCTGTGAGGTGGCAATTCAGCTTGGATTCCATGCCATAATAACACTTATTTAAATTTTTCCTGTGAGGTGGCAATTCAGCTTGCAAAGACTAAAATAATCCTGATAAGGCCCACGGTCATTGCTCTCTTCCGCCCTCTCTCTTCTTTCTCTTTGTTGTCTCTCGCACTCTCAACTCTCTTCTCTTCGACTGCTTCTTCCAGCAACTGCAAGTTCTCCTCCCCAGCGGCGCTCCTCTTTCTCACTCTCATTTTCTCCTCCCTCGCTCTCCCTCTGTCGCTCTTCACTCTCTCCCGCTCTCCCTCTTCCTCACTCTCATTTTCTCCTCCCTCGCTCCCCCCTCAGTCTTGCTCTCCCTCTATCACGCCCTCACCCTCTCTCGCTCTCACATTCTAGGGCCCATGGTCATTGCTCTCTCCCGCCCTCACTCTTCTCTCTGTCGTTGTCTCTCACACTTTCAACTCTCTTTTCTTTGACTGCTTCTTCCTAGTTTTCAAATTTCTGCAATGGGCCTGTCCGTATTTTTCCTTTATTTGTATGGGAAGAAAAATTATTTGTGATGTTATCTGTCAAGTTTGAAGATAAGAATATTTTGCAAATTTTTAATCTTTTACAAAATAAAAATAAATAGTTGGTTTCAACTTATCAACTGAACGAAATGGAACTAGTAATTCAACAATTTCTTCGTCCAAAGAATTCAACTAAAGAAAGAAACATAATTTGATGAAGAGATTCAAATAAGTTCTGCGACAATGAAGTTAAGACTTACAAGCTCTCTCGAGCCTAAGTTGGCTAATGTTTTAAAAAAAAAAAGAATAAGAAGCCAACCTAAAAAAAACTTCAGTTCGAGGTTTTTTTTAACAAAATGAAAGCGATTAAGCGAAGCGACATGAATTCGATCTCTGCAGCAAAACTTCAGTTTGAAGCAGAAAATCTGTTGGAAGCTCTTCGCCTTTTCATGCGGAATTGCAAGTTTCCAATAATGAAAGACCTTAAAACGAGAACGCATCAAAGACAAAAAAAATGGAGGGAACTGTTAGCGTATCCTATATCTCTTTACTTCTAGGAGATAATTGGCTGTACATATCTTAGCTTTTTATCTCTTTTCTTTCATAGAGCTGTTGCCTATTGAATTTAATTATCAAGAGAAATTATTCCCTTTCTATTCGTTCTTCTTGGCCTCGTATCAGAAACAGAGACTTTAGCTTGACAGAACGATGAATGACTTTTGAGAATGAATAAAGTTGCTCCTACGATGCTGCCCTCCTCCCGAATTCGTTTTCCATAGCGTCCTCTGCTCACTTTTCATTTTCATTTGCTTTGTCCGTTCTATTTTGATTCTTGAACAGTGATTTCTCGCACTGAAAGTACAATCCAGTGATTTAAGAATCAAAATAGAACGGACAAAGCAAATGAAAATGAAAAGTGAGCAGAGGAGGCCGTGGAACCTGAATTCGGGAGGAAGTGAGAGTGAACGGGAGAAAGTGAGAGCGAGAGGGAAGGAGAGCGGGAGAGAGGGAGAGCGGGAATGGGAGAAAGTGAGAGCGAGAGAGACTGAGAGAGGGAGAGCGGGAGAGGGTGAGGGCGCGACAGAGGGAGAGCAAGAGTGAGGGGGAGCGAGGGAGGAGAAAATGAGAATGAAAAAGAGGGAGAGCGAGAAGAGCGGGAGAGAGTGAGGGGCGACAGAGGGTGAGTGAGACTGAGGGAGAGCGAGGGAGGAGAAAATGAGAGTGAAAAAGAGGAACACCGCTGGGGAGGAGAACTAGCGGTTGCAGGAAAAACAGTCGAAGAGAAAGAGTTGAGAGTGCGAGTGACAACAGAAGAAAAGAAGAGGGAGGGCGGGAGAGAGCAATGACCGTGGGCCCTAGCAGGGTCATTTTAGTCCTTTGCAACTTAAGGTTATATTTCAAAATAAAAATTTAAATAAGTGTTATGATGACATGGAATACAAACTGGATTGTCACCTCACAGGAAAAGGAAAAGCATAGGGAAAAGATGTTTGATTGATGTGGGAATTTGTCAAAAGTTGAATTTAATTGTTATTGTAGCTTCTGTATAGGCTGACTTGGGATTCAGGTTCCTGCAATGGATCTATCCGTACTTTTCCCATATTTATATTGTATTTCCCGTTGTATAGCCTATAGTTGTACATGGG